TTTACTTGAAAGAATTATATTTGAAAGATATTTATTTGAAAGAATTATAATGAAAAAATATTTATTTGGAGGAAGTATATTCGAAATATATTTATTGGAAAGGATTATATTCTAGAGACTTTTATTGAAAAACTTATAGATAAAAGATGTATATTTTGAAGGACTTGATTAATTAGCTGTACCTATATTTATTATTCGTTTGAGCAATATTTATGGTGTTCGTGTTGCCTTGCTGTTTAAATCACTAGTTGATTGGTGTTGCTATCACTGTTATTTATTTTTTATTATTTTTGTAGGCTATATTGCACAGGTTATTTGACTAGTGAGTGTCTTAACTGTTCCTCATCATTACTCCACTGAGGTTAGTCTTGATACTTGCTGGGTATCGTCGTGGTGTACTCATACTACACTTCTGCACATTTTTGTGCAGATTAAGGTATTTCGAAGTCAGTTGATCATTAGCTAGTTGTGCGGATTGTTGCTGTGGAGACTCAAGGTAAACCTGTTGCTGCGTCCGCAGGCTTCGGAGTTACCTTTTGATTTGTATTCACATTATTTACTTTATTTCAAACAGTTGTACTTAGTAAATTGTAGCAACTGTTTGAGTCACTAGTTGATTGGTGTTGCTATCACTGCTATTTATTTTTTATTATTTTTGTAGGCTATATTGCACAGGTTATTTGACTAGTGAGTGTCTTAACTGTTCCTCATCATTACTCCACTGAGGTTAGTCTTGATACTTGCTGGGTACCGTCGTGGTGTACTCATACTACACTTCTGCATATTTTTGTGCAGATTAAGGTATTTCGAAGTCAGTTGATCATTAGCTAGTTGTGCGGATTGTTGCTGTGGAGACTCAAGGTAAACCTGTTGTTGCGTCCGCAGGCTTCGGAGTCACCTTTTGATTTGTATTCACATTATTTACTTTATTTCAAACAGTTATACTTAGTAAATTGTAGCAAACTCTGTAGAGCTTATGACTTGTACTACCGGTTTTGGGAATTATAAATTTCATAGAGATTGTTATTTCAAAAATTGTTAGATGTTATTTAATTATTGTTGTTATTCAGTAAATGTTAGGCTTACCTAGTCCCTAAGACTAAGTGCCATCACGATACCCAACAGAGGGAAAATTGGGTTGTGACATAAACTGAAAATCTTCAGCGTCACTAACACAATTGAGTCCAGTAACTACCGCAAACTCCCTGATTGAAAAGCATAATTTTGTACCATTCACATATATTGAAAATGAATCATCATGGCTTTCTTCCAGCTGCAGAACCATGAAATACCTGAACAATTGATGTTGAACCTCACAGTTCTTCATATCAAGGAAACTTTCAAAACAAATATTACAAAATAATTTGTACTGCTCTAGAGTAAGCTTCTCTTTGTGGTCGGAGACTATGTCTGTGTTAGTGTAGGAACTGATATGTGGTGATATAATAGACGGGTGTTTAACAAAGAGTTTTATTTCCTGTATACAACAAAAATTAAAAAGATAAAATAAATAATTGAAAATATAGATGAATACATATATTTGGAATACATAACTCATTTATGATTTACAAACATAATGTATTGATAATTACCATAAAAATGAGAGATATGACAATGACTGTTGTTCTAAATACAGCAGAATACAGTTGGCTTGAGAAATGCTGATGAGAACACTTAATTGGAATACATAACTAAAGCTAGAACAATATACATCTAAATACATATAAATATAACAGTCAAAAGTCACTGTAATAAGTACAAATCAGTGTTGGCACTATTGAATACATATAAATACATCAACACACAAGAAGAGAAAAACAGTGTAGAAGGTAATAATCGGTGTATGCGGACTAAAATACATATAAATACATCTACAGTTACCTTTTTGATCAGTGTTTTCGAGCTAATTCTTGTATCGACCTCTTTTTCCTTAACCCCTGAATCATCATCCATAAGTTTTCTTCTCTTTTCCGCATCATGAAGTGTTGATTCTTTTGAAGATTTCTCAAATTGGGCTTGTTTCGATGTGTCATTGCGTATTTTTATTCTCTTTTCTCCAACTGTATTTGCTGCTGAATCTGCAAATACATGTTCCACTTAAGTGATTTGCAAATCGAAAGATGACCCTTCAAAATTGAGTGCTTTGGTGGGTATACCTCGGGTAACCCTCTTGTGAGTTGTTGAATCAGCTATTGGAGATGAAATTTCGAGTTTTCTGGTGAAATCATAACAATGGTGATTATTTCTAAAAATTTAGTAAAGAGATACAGAAGAAGCAAGCTACCAACGAAAATCTAACAATTTTAACACTTACCACAACTTTTTGGAGAAATCAATTTTGAAAATTGAGAGAGAAAATGGAGATGAATCAGTTGAGAATCGTGGTTGTATTCATGGGGAAGAGACTGGCATTGAGAGAGAGAGATAGTGGAGAGAGATCGTGATTTCTGAAGTTGTATACTGTACGGTGGTATTGTGAGAGAAAGAATAGAAAGCAGGAAAGAGAAAAATATTACATAGCGTATTTAATGGTTTAACGGTAGGAAGTGACCATAAATACATAATTTGCTATAAAACCTAAAAGGTAGCTATAGAAAATAATTTTTTAAAAGAGTATTTATTTATAATAAATAAGGTATAAAGTTTTGCTATAGGAGGTAAAATTTCCTTCTTTGAACAATATGCAGATGCAGAATCTTAGTGGGCGTTTGGACATAAGAATTGAAAATTTCGAAAAAAATTAAAAAAAAAAAATCAAGTGAAAATGATATTTGAAAATTAGAGTTGTGCTTGGACATGAATATAATTTTGGGTTGTTTTTAAATTTTGGTGAGTGATCTGAGTGAAAATTTTAAAAAATAGCTTTTAGAGTTACCTTATTGTCTTATTACCTTATTGTTGCTATTGTTTGTTTATTGCTTCATTTTCACTGTTCTTGAGCCGAGGGTCATCGAAAATAACCTCTTTACCTTCATAAAGTAGGGGTGATGTCTGCGTACACATTACCCTGCTAGACCCCACTCGTGAGATTTTAGTGAATTTGTTATTGTTGTTGTTGTTATTATTGTTGTTGCCTTCTCCGTTTTCTTTGGTTGCCTACTTACGCCTCAATCTTTCTCCTATCTAGGTTTAACATTTTTAGTTTTCATTATCTTTTTACTATATTATAATATTTTTAATTTTGTATTTGTAAGAACCTTACTTAAGAGTATTACAGTTTATGGCTTTATGCGCGAGTTAATATTCCAGCCGAACAAATCGAAATTACCAGACCGAATAAAACTAGATCGAAGGGCAAAAAATCGAACCATACATAATTTAATTAGTCATGATATCGGTATAGCATCTTAAGAAATCGAATAGTAAAAATACCCAATCGAAATATTTAAATACCTTATCGATCGCGGAACACCTCTAATGTCAATAGTAGGATATCCTTTGGAATGGGTGATTGAAATAATGGATTGCATGCCCACAAGTTCACTGTTAAGGCGTGCCATGACCACCAAGGAATTTTAGGAAAACTGAATATATTCTTGGGCATATTAACGGGCGAAGCTAGAATATAACTTAGGGCAAAGATCACTTTTAATCCGCGGCAAAAATTATTTATATTTGCTAGCCGTAATGTGTATAAAATTATATTTTATATATATACACACAAAAAAAAATATATACAAAAATGTATATTTTCGATTATTATTTTAAGAGGGATTATGCAATTTCATTTTTCCTATAACTTATGTTCCTTCTCCATATTAAATCGTGAAATTAGAAATTGCGTGAAGATTTGTATTATTTCATAGTCCGGTCTAATGTTTTCATTATTTAACTCCATTTGCTCGAACGATTTGAAAGGAAAGAGGAGAGCAGTTCAATAATCTCTCTCTCTGTCCTTTTTTTTCCTTCTCTTTCATTTCCATTCTAAAGAAACAGACTCTTGAGAAAAGTTTTATGCAACTATCAGCATTGAATAATAATAAGTAAATAAAAAATACGGAGTACATATTTTATATAATATCTTCTCCTACAGATCATACTGAACAGGTATGGGAAACTCAAATAATTGCTGGATCAAACAAAAGGAAAACAATATATACACGAACAGTCGGCAGTGGAAGAAACAAGGTAATTCCTCCACCAAATCTGAACCAAATAAATGTGAAGAAAGAAATTCTTAAAAAGGCGATTTTACTAAGTTTTGTATAATAAATCTTACTACCTCCGTTTCCGTGAACATATTTTCTTTTTGGTCCGTTCCAAAAATAATGACTCCTTTATAAATTTGGAAATAATTTTGCTTAAACTTGCAATTCTACCCTTTATGAGAAGCTTTTATAACCACACATATACTTTGGGCCCCTTTTTGAATTGTTTAGGACCATAAATTCCAAAAATCTTCATTTTTTTCTTAAATTCCGTGCCCAGTCAAACAGGTTCACAGACGGAAATGGAGGGAGTACTATATTGTACTAACTTGGTAAACAACTGATTCATTCTCATGCACGTTAAACTCTTATTTAATCACACACTAGTTCGTGGCCCTCAATTAAAGCACCTCCCCACTCTTCCCTTTTTAATATTGGTTCAACTCCGGCACTTCATAATAATACTATTTATGTGAACCTATTTTTTTTTTATAATTCGTGTAAAAATATAAATATATTTTTCTATTTGAAAACAATTTACCTTTATGCAATGAATTATAACCACACAAAATATATGTGCCTCATTTTACACCATAAATTTAAAAGTTTTATCTCTTTTCTTAAACTCCGTGTCTACTCAAATAAATTCGCATAACTTGAAACGGAGGGAGTAACAACAAATATAATAATAATAATAATAAATGTTATCACTAATTTTAGATATAATTTACTTTACTTTATATATTATGATTATTGTCGTTATTTTGGTGAAGGTAGACAGCTAACAACTTCTGACTTTAAAAATTCAACTTTAAGCCATTCAAAAATTAGGACAGGAAATGTTGGCTAAGTAGTACTAGAATATTTGTCAAAAACATATTACTAGTATCGTGTTAAAGACAGCTCAAGCTGTATTTTCCTCTATTCCAATTTCCATTTGTCATTGAATAATTCAAGGAATCCATGATATTAAAAAGTCACATCAGGGCATTATATTCCTAAAATCTGGTTTCTTATTTTGGAACTTCCGTTCTATCTCAGCAGCTTCTTGAATCCTCAAAAAGGTAAATTTGTGAATGTGCTCGTTTTCTTGATTCCTAGCATCTTATTGAAATTAACAAAAGAAAAAATCAGTCTTTTTTGAAAGATCTGATAGTAATATGGAGGAGAAGCAACTGTTGTTTGAAAAGTATGAAATAGGGAAGCTATTAGGCAAAGGAACTTTTGCAAAAGTGTACTATGGGAAAGAACTATCAACAGGGGAAAGTGTAGCCATAAAAGTGATCAAGAAAGACCAAGTCCAAAAAGAAGGAATGATGGAGCAAATCACACGAGAAATCTCAGTGATGCGTCGCGTTCGCCATCCGAATATTGTAGAACTCAAAGAAGTTATGGCTACAAAGTCCAAAATCTTCTTCATAATGGAGTATGTTAAAGGGGGTGAGCTCTTTGCAAAATTAGTAGCCAAAGGGAAGTTGAATGAAGAATCAGCACGAAAGTACTTCCAACAATTAATAAGTGCTGTTGATTTTTGCCATAGCCGAGGGGTCTATCACCGCGATTTGAAGCCTGAAAATCTCCTTCTCGACGAGAATGAGGACTTGAAAGTATCTGATTTCGGGTTATCGGCTTTGCCTGATGAGCAGTTGAGTAGAAATGATGGTTTGCTTCATACTCAATGTGGAACTCCAGCTTATGTTGCTCCTGAAGTTTTAAGGAGGAAAGGATATGATGGTGCAAAAGCTGATATTTGGTCATGTGGGGTAATCTTGTATGTACTTGTAGCTGGTTTTCTTCCATTCCAAGATGAGAATTTGATGAACATGTACAAGAAAATTTTCAAAGCTGATTACGAATTCCCTATGTGGTTTTCAGTAGATTCAAGACGTTTGATATCTAAACTTTTAATGGCTGATCCAGAAAGGAGGATAACTATTCAAGGTATAATGAGAGTTCCATGGTTTAGGAAGAGTTTCACAATTCCAAGGGCGTTTTCGATCCAAGATTTGCAAAAGCTAGAAAAAGAACAAGAAAATGATGATGAAGAGGGAATGAGCAGCAAGCAAGGAGGAATCATTAGGAAATCACCTTCATCCCCTGCATTTTTCAATGCATTCGAGTTGATTTCGTCGATGTCCTCGGGTTTTGACTTGTCTAGTTTGTTTGAGATCAAAGGGAAGGCTTCATCCATGTTCACTTCAAGAAGTTCTGCTAGGGATGTAATGAGGAAATTAGAGAAAATGGCTAAAGTTATGAGATATAAGGTTTACAGGTCAAAACCATTCAAGTTAAAGATGCAATGCCCCGAGGAAGGCCGGAAAGGGCGGTTGTTGGTCACCGCCGAGGTGTTTAAGGTGGCACCGGAGGTTACTGTCGTCGAGTTCTTAAAGTCCTCCGGCGACACCTTGGAGTATAACAAGTTTTGTGAAGAGGAAGTTAGACCTGCTTTGAAGGATATTGTTTGGACATGGCAAGGGACTAGTAGTGGAAATGCTCAAGTTGATAACAAAGAGGACTTGGAGCAATAGGATTTGGTACATAATTTGTACATTCTTCGCCTTCTTTTGGGTTTGTATCTCGCTCTCACCGGCCGACTGATCGAAATAGACTGGACTAGAGAGGTATGCATGCGTGTTACTTTATTTGCACTGGTCTGTACATGAATATGTACTCAGTAAATTATAGACTACTTGAGCTTTGGATTACAAGCAGGTTATTCTTGAGACTAATTTTAAATATTATTCGCTTGATGTGAATTCATTTAATTTCCTCTAATCATCCTCAAGCACAACTGATCAAAGATTGCAGGAATCTTGTTTAGAGGTGTTAAGCATGATGTTCACTTCTTCTTATTTTATTTTTTTGGGTTGAATTGTTATAGGTGTTTAGCTGGATTTTGTAAAGTTGCAAGACTGTAAAGTCATATGCAAAAATTGGTCAGGTTTGATATCAAAGCATTTGAATTTTGCTTCGTTCATTAGCAATTTAGCATGCTTCTCATTTTTACGTCAACTTTGTCGTCTGATCAACTTTGTCGTCTGATCACGCTTAGTCGTGGACTTGTAAATTTTGGTGTTTAAATTTTCATAAAGAGTTAAATTTCTTTATAATTTTTTAATTTTAACTTCGTAGTCAAAAGTAAAACTTCATTTTCTATTCCCTCTCCAGCCCCGGCCCCAACTCCACAGTCCACAGGAAGATGATGTAACTCCAACTATTTAATTAGGCCTCATTTAAACACAACTTGATGATGTGGCATAATGCGTGTATTATACTATTTTTCTGAGCGTGTTCACCGTCATCACCTTGTTGTCTTAAATATTATTACCGGAATTAATGGAGATCGCCGGAAAAATCCCAAACATTTTATTCTTTTTCGTTTCTTCCCTTTTTCTCAACTCAAATATATTCTTCTCAAGTTAGCTAAAAGAAAGGATTTTCAACCCAAAAAAAAAAAGAAAAAAAATTGACATAAATTTCTCCCTTTCCCAGATCTGAAAATTCAAAAACGGTACTTTTGGGTGGAGGAATACTAATGGTGGTAGTTTACTATTCCTCTGTTGCTTTTCGTTTCATCTTCAAAACACTTAAAGGTCATTGTTACTGTTGCTGCGAAAGTCAGCAGCATTAAGAGCATGACAGCAATTTCAGTCAATAATGTTCATTGGGTGTGGAGATTAGGAAAAAGAAAATGGTGGTAGGTGTGTTCATTGGGTGTGGAGATTAGGAGAAAGAAAGAGGACATGCGGGTACCTGTGTTTTTTCCTTTTGGCAGATGAAGACAGAAGGAAGAGGGGGGAGTTTGGGGGAAGATGACTAAGGGTAGCGTAGGGTTCTTGTTAAAAAAAAAAAAAAAATTTTTTTTTTTAAGTTTGTCCAAGTTAAATCTACATGTCCCTTTTTTATTCGTCACTTTGTCGAGTGAATTATACACATATTATATGGTTAGCTATTTATGAATTTTGTGTTTAAACGACACATTTGAGATATGGTTGAAACGTTCAAATGAAACGGATTTTAAATAATGTACTTAAGTGAAAAGTTAAAATAACTTTAAGGGTTAGACGACATAATTAAGCAAGATATTTTCCATGACAATATGACACCTTGTCTTTTAGATTATTTTAATAATTAGTATCCAACTCAGAATATTGCTCACCGACTGGATCCATAGAAAGGATGCCACCACTGAGTTGAACTGGTCAATTTTTAACATAATTTAAATTTGTTTGGTTGGGTTTAGGTACCACACCAGCTCAAAAACATCCAATTGGAAACAATTTATTGGCTGCAATAGTATGATTTTTAATTCTATCGTTTTCCTAATTTTGGAGTTGGAGGCCAATGGGATTGCGTATGTCTGTGGTGGAGCTGGTTTAATAGTATATAGTATATGAGAAAATAGAGATAACTTTGAACTTCAACAAACTTATAGTTTTAACTTTTATATATTCGTAATAGTTAATACTCTAAAACCCCTCAAACTATTACGATTTTATCAGTTTTCTATTTAAATTATTCGGTGTCCTTAAACCCCCCCCGAATTATATTGCCCTTTATATTTAAATTCTTTCATTACTTAACTGGCATAACGTGTGTACACACTCGCTTGAGAGCGAGCACAACTGGAAAAAAAAAGAGGCATCAAAATGAATGGCTCACTTGGTATAATGTAATGGCTAATTAGCCTAACCCTCTTTCAACTTTAATTTTTTAAATATTCTCTTTATTTCCTTTATATCCACTTTTCTTCCTCATTTTCACCATTTTTCCTTATTTTTACCTTTCTTTTTTATTTTCACATTTTTCTTTATTTTTCCACCTTTTTTCTTCAATTTTTCTTATGGGTTCCTCTAGGGGAAAAAATCACTCTCTTGTTTCCTAAAGAACACCTATTTAAATCTTTCTATTAAACCTAACATCTTATTGTAGAGAATGAAGTTGAATCTCTTAAACCTTGTTTGTGTAATTTAGAATTAGAAAGTATAGTTATTGGCCGATTAGTTTCTTATTTGTGAAATTTTATTTTGTGTAATCTTATTTATGTAATATAAGATGATTTTTTTATAAATACAATACTATATGCCTTTATTTATTTTTTTATCCTGCTGCAAAGTGAATAGAAAAAAAGAATTATTCAGTTAGAGTCTAGTATAAAGCACAATCACGATTAAATCTAAATTAACCCATTACATTAGATACTATTTTGGCCAAAACTCCTAGAATTAGTCAGTCATCCGAGAGTAGTACATCCTGAGTAAACTACATAAAAAATTTAGTACAAACTATAAATTAATATAGTCAGATAGGCGCACCTCTATGAATTTAATATGGGGCTTTAATATATAGGAGAATATAGTTGAGGGGAGTTTTGGGGGCACTAGATAGCTTAAGTAGGTAACTGACAAAAAAATTACGGTTTATGGGGGTTTTAGGTTGGATTAAATAGCCATGTGTAGTGTTACATGATACGCTTTTTAGATAATTAGGAGCGTGTATTAGACGCACATCTAAGAATGCAAAGAAGGGATTTTAATATAAGGGAGGGGGGAGGACTTTGGAGACACCGAATAGTTTATGTAGGAAACTGACAAAAACGGGACGGCTTAGGGAGATTTTAGGTTTGTAAATGTTGAACTTCAATAAACTCATAGTTTTTTAATTAGAAAAAAAAAGGCATCACTACGCACTAAACTCCCACTGTATGCGGGGTCCGGGAAAGAGTCAGACCACAAGGGCTTATTGTATGCAGCCTTACCCTGCATTCCTGCAAGAGGCTGTTTCCACGGCTCGAACCCGTGACTTCCTGGTCACATGACAGCAACTTTACCAGTTACACCAAAGCTCCCCTTCAGTTTTTTAATTAAAATATAACGATAATCATAAACTATCTGCAATGAATTAATAGCAGGAACCGCTTAATTAAAAAGTTAAATTACAGTATTACTCTTCTTATTTATCTAAATATCTCATTTAATATTTTTTTTAAAACTAACGCTTAGGAACAACCCAAATGAAATGACGCTACAAAAGTTGGGAACACTTAACAAACAGACACTTAACAAACGGAGGCAGCTTTTAGTTTGAAGAGATACTTATGCAATGAAGCATTCAAAAAGGAAAATGGCGTCAAAAGTTCAAGAAGAAACCACTACGATTGTAATCTCATATAGATGAATTAAAGCAATTGGCGGGGAACTTAACAACAAGTTCTCGTGTACCCAACTAACTTCTCTCAATCAAAGCTTTCCGGCCTTTCCAAACTCTTTCCGTAGAAGACATTTCTTCTGCCTTCATCTCTAATCTCACCGAATACAAGTGAATTTTGTTTTTGATGCGGCTCTTATTAAGATTTTAATTGCTTCGTTCTGACTTATATGAATATTAGTAGGGAGAATTAACAATCCAATTGTTATTGAAGATGTCTATGCATGAAGTTACAAAAAGTACTGGTATTACTATTATATTGGTCCCAGTAAGTAATCCCTGATTTAGTCCTTTATCTTAATGTTTTCTCTTCACATTTCAGCCATTCATTTTAGATAGCAATGATTATGGGATAAGTAATTTGAATAGTAGCCAAGATTTGTAAGTTCACCAACCAATGGTAAACTAAAATCCATGATGCAAAACAACAGTAAGATCTAAGGCTTTTCTCCTCCAAGTTGTTTGATGGGAATTTTAATTTTCTTCTTTGTTTTTGTTAATAGTAGTAATGCATTAGACCAAATGCATTTCATTAACCAAGACACTCTTTGCAACAATTCCTCTGCTGTATGAACAAACAACGCATACTATTGATTATACCACAGAACACACAAGACACTATTTCCTCTTCACATATATTGCATATTAGATACATATACATATATAGGATCTGGAATACAAGAAGGGAATAAGTGTCGGCGAATTATAATGAATATTAGGTGAGGACATGAGCTACGCTATTACATGTCGTGTAACTCATAAAATCAAAATACGTAAAAACAAGCACACATAACTAATTAAAATTTGAGTGTTCATCTTAGTAGGTTCAGACAATATCCAATGCTTGACCTCGACAAACAAGTCGTCACATGACAATCCACATTATTGATCATTCACAGAAACTTGTACTCAATTCATTCATGTACAATTATTTACTCAAAGTTTTATTTTTGATAATATTAATATTATTTTATAAAATCATATAATACTTAGACTCATCAGTTCACGTGCCGAAAAACTAGTAAGCCAGAAACGGACGAAAGAGATCATTTCTCCCTTTTTATGAGTGCCTCTATAACTCTATTCAGGTATGGTTATCAAACTTTACTCATTTTGATAATGAAATAGAGTCACTTAAAACTATTGGTTAATGAATCAATCGAATAAATTTTTGCTCTTGCGGCAACAGCTACAGATATTTCTCCTGGCATTTGTCTAAATCTAATAAGAAAATTAAAAGCTAAGCAGTTGCTCCAAGAGCTTCATCTAGCAGACTTCTTGCAAAGAGGTGCATTTAGTTCTAGTAAATCATATTTTGTATAATAATTTCAATAACTACGATGAAGAACATGAACCAATAGTCAGAACTAAACTAAAATTGAATAGTAGGCCTTGCAAGCTCTTGTTTTTTACATGCTTATTAAGCAAGGGGTTTGTCCATCAACTAAAGTAGTAAAGTAAGTTTTGACCCACATTACTTGTACTTTTCTTCTCGATGTTTCATTAATACAAGTCTACGCAAATATTATGCCTGTATGAATTATTAAAAAATGAAAAAACTAAGAAAGTAATAGTCTATTAGTTAAGAATCACAATTCAAATATAACAAATTTATGAGCTTTCTACCATTGCCAAGTTGGGTGACTCCGTCTTCTCTGAACTGTTTAAACAAATACTATTTGAAAAGAAAAATCGAAAAAGAGCTTTTGGGTCCAGTATAACTGGATCCCGCTAAGCCCAAGCAGCGAAGCCGAGGTACTGTTTTTTGTTGGATTTT